ACAGACAGACAGACAGACAGACAGACAGACAGACAGACAGACAGACAGACAGACAAATAGATAGAAAGAAAAAAGAGACAAGGGTAATAACTGAATCTGAAGAACACAGAAGAGCAGGCACAAGATCAGGCATAACCATCGGAAGACAATAGGAAGATCTCTTTCGAAGACGCTTCGCAAAGGGCAAAATCACCGTACACCTTACATTCCACATTGAAAATGAAACCGGAGGTGGTGGTGGTGGTAGTTGGAGACAAAAAGGGGGGAGGGGAGAGATGTTTGAGGAGCCATAAACGCCGAGCAAAGGAAGAGTGAAGAGTTTTCTGGCAAATGCCCGGGGTGCACACTCATCTACAGAGCCACGCGACGGTTGCTCATTACCAGGTTGCAGGTGTTTCCTCCTAGCTCAGGTATGTATTTCGGATATTTTAAAAAAGAAATTCCCTTGAAAAAAATGAAGAATACACGTGATGAGGTAGCATGGCGCGCGAGAGACTGCTAGCCGTCTCCTAGACAAACATACACTCCCGCAGACGTGCATTGTATTAGTCATAATATAATCTATTGCTGTTTTTATCCACGTGCCCGCCGTTGGCTCAGTTGGTATCATGTCGACCTGCGGTGTGGACGACACAGGTGGGAATCTCCCAACGTGGAGTTTTCGAACAAACCGTGATGTTTGGCTAGTCTTCAAGGCTATCCACCAACCCTATCGGAGGTAGACAGTAAATCTGGTGAGGGCCCGCCTCTTTATATTAAATTCTGAGGTCCTACGACCTTACAGTATGAAATAGGGTTCCCAAGTAGCAAATCAGAAAGTTAGCACGTACGAGGAGCGTTCCCCGCGATTTCAAATGACAAGGCAAAACCCCGAGCCGTGGGGTCCATTTCGGGCTATGAGACCTTATCACTCGTTTTAGAACAAGAGAATAATTATAGCAACTGGAAATTTAACGTTCGCACAAGAAAAGATAATGTGGTTTACTGAATAAACATGTACATCGTTTACATACCATCCGTCTGCCTCTCCATGTCAAACACAACCATTGTGCTTTGTTTGAATTGCTTCTAAAATCTCTAAAGAAAATACACAGCACCCAAAGGAAAAGAGGTATAGGACAGCAATGACATGATTAATACTATACTTCTGAAAGTGTAGATGCATTACCAAAAGGTCAGGCAAGGGACACATGTAGCAGTATACATATTATAAGACAAAGATCAAAAAGTGGGTATAATTTTTAAATGACGAGCCGGAGGGTCAAAGAAAACAGAACGAATATTTGAGTGGGTAATGTATCTTGGGGTGTTATATGGGGAGGAGTGGGCGTTGTAGTGTGTGCAAGAGAATACAATCTGTTTTCTTGTCAAAACAACAACATACTTGAGTGTGTAATGTGTCTTGGGTGTACACTTTGGGAGTGGAGGGCAGCTATGGTGAGTATGCAATGCAAAAAATAATCATTTTCAGGGGGGGAGACAGAGAACATAGAAATGTCATAATACAACAAGCTAAAAATGTGTTAAATGGAGAACAGGACAACTACTGTGTGCGTCCGTTCCAGTGTATCTTATTTAATGAATTCTAGTTCTACAAGAAGACAGACAATGGATGTATGGAGTGTTTGTGTTTTTATTGGGGGGGGGGGCACAAGGGAGATTAAAGTAGCCACTCTGCAAACCAGTAGCAGTTTTGGCTCTAATGCAAGGAACAAGACACAGAGTAAGGCTACCAAAGAAACAAAGCAGACGGCACAGTCTGCTGTGTGAAAGCAAGTACATGGCCACGTGGCGCTGGGCAAGCAGCATTCAGCTGGAGAGAGTTGCAAAGCACTTGGGTTCCATCTTCATCACTGTCTCGTTCCGTCCAGTCAAGGAGGAACAAAGAAAAGAAAATAATTTGCCAGGAAAACCCAGCACATCCACACAATCAATATCACAACATCATCAAATTTTCAAATAGACATTTCTTTCTATGAATTGTGATCGGGCAATGGTATTGTGCAAAAGTGCGAGCTGGGGAGAGAGCTTTGTTAACAAGTTTCATGTGCAAATGGTTTGTTTTTTTAAATGCAAGTAAACAAGTCATATACATGGATAAAATGTTTTGAAAATAAATCTAAATATATTACTAGTCTGAAACAACAAAAATTAATTTAATAAATGTTTATCTAACATGGAAACTTTCAGCAACAACCACAAACAAGCTTATGGAACTGAAATATTGAGCTGTGTCGTTTTCAACGTCTACAGAAATTCCATGCGGGGAAGGAAAATGTTTACAGACATGTTAGTAAACTTAAGCTATCACTTCAACAACACATAACAAACCAACCAATAGGTCACACAAAAAAAACTACCACAGGAATAGAAAACCGTACTAGAGTTCAAATACAAAGCTAAATTAATCCACTCTCTACCTCCACTTGTCACAGCTGTGTGGTCCCGCCCCACGCTCGAGAGACCTGATCCGCTCTACAAGGACCCTGGCCAGAGTGGACACTTGACTCAAGTTCAACCCTAACGCCCTCCCCCTCCACTTCTTCCCCTCCCGCTCCTGCGGTGAGTGGTTAAAAAACCCAACTCCACATACTCCTGAGTATGCAATTATAGCGATTTTTCTCTAGCTATAAATACATTGTGAATCTTGACTT